GTTTAATAGAATACATAGTCAGATAGAGGAATTCAATTAATTTGTTTATTAAATAGTGCCCTAGGTACATAATTTTAAATAGAGGGGTTCCAAGGAACATGATAACCTATTGCAACCAGGAGGCTCTTCAGCCAGGCCTTCTGGTCCAAAATTACATCTCAGTTTCACTAATGATCATCTCACAGGATTCTTTACTGGGAGAGTATACTAAATGTACTAAAAGTTTACTCACTACCCCTCTCCAAAAAGGCAGGAACTTGAATTTCTCATAATGGCAAGTCCTTCCACTCCTAACTCAGAGGCAAACAGACTCTGTCCTCTTCTTGTCAGCAGAGCTGGTCACCTTCTTGGCTCAGGAAGCAGCATGGCAGAAGGTGGGAATGTGGAGGTGAGAATACCAGACAGAGACGCTGTAGACTCGTGTGGCCTCATTTTGCTGATTGTTTTAGAAACTTACTGCACTACTTTTTAAAAATTATTTTTTGTGTCTCCAAGTTCCTTCCTTTCCTAAGTGGCTCTAAGTTTCAGGTTCCAAGTATATGGATGACTGACTATAGCCCAGTCTAAGTTATGGTATTTCAATTGCCTCAGAAGCACAGGAAAATTGGACAATGAATAAGGAAGACTGAAGAATAGTTGACTCCTTTGGACTGCGTTGTTGGAGAGGAGTATTAAATATACCATGGATTGTCAAAAGAGTGAATACATTTTTCTTGGAAGAAACACAACCAGAATAGTCACTGGAGATGAGAATGGCAAGATTGCTTTCATCTCACATACTTTGGGCTGGTTATCAGGAGCAGCCAATTCCAACGAAGGGGATCATCCTGAGTAAAGCAGAGGATCGTGTAATGAAGGAAGACCCTCAAGGTGGACTGACACAGTGGTTACAACAATGCACACAAGCACACCAGTGATTGTGCAGATGACACACACAAGACTATATTTTGTTCTGTTATGCATACTCTCTATAGTTAGAACCCACTAGACAGTACCTATCAGCAACAGTATATTTTTCACTTATGATATTAGTATTTAATAATTGTTATTATATCTTAAAAATGTATTTATGTTTTCTGTTAACAAAAGTAAAACAGTTTAAAGAAAATATATCTTTTTTAACTATAAAAATGATCTGGAGAAAGAAAATAACATTTCTGTCCTCATTAAATTAAAAAATAAGTGCACTTGGGAAAGTCTGCAGTCAGGGACCTCTCCAAATTATTATGGAGCAATGATGTCAATTTGAGGACTAAGGTGTGCCTGGTTCAGGTCATAGTCTTTCCAATCACTTGCTATGCATATGAGAGCTGGACGATGGACAAGGATGACAGAAGAATTGATGCCTTTCAGCTGTGGTGTTGGAGAAGAATATTGAATATAGCATGGATGGCAAAAAAAATATGTCTTAGAGAATCTAGTGCAGCCAAAGTGCTCTTTGGAGACAAAGATATTAAAACTTCATCTCACATAATTTGGGTATGTTGCTAGATGGGTTATTCCTTAGACAGGGACATCATGCTTGGGCAGGTAAAGGATCAATTGGGCTGACACAATGACTGCTGCAATGAGCAGAAAGTGTGAAGATGGTACAGGATAGTAAAGGGTTCGGATCTGTTGTTCATAGGGTCTCTATGGGTTGTCTCATCTCAACGGCACATAACAACAACAAGAAAGTGTGCATAATCCAGGTCATGGTCTTTGCAATTACTTACTATGTATAAGAGCTGATCAATGACTAAGGATAATAGGAAGAAAAGATGTCTTTGAGTTATCATGCTAGAGAAGAGTATACAATGGACTGCCAAGAGAATGAACAGGTCTGTCCGGAAGAGGGTGAAACAAGATTGCTCCTTGGAGGCAAGAATTTTGAAACTCCATCTCACATACTTTGGGCATGTTGCCAGGAGGGACCCGCCCTTGAAAAAGGACATCACGCTTGGAAAGGTGGAGGATCAACGCAGGAAAGGAAGACCCCGGATGAGATAGATTGACACAATGACTGGGGTAATAGGGACAAGTGTGTCGGAGACAGTAAGATTGGCTCAGGATAGGGCTGGGTTCAGAGCTACTATTCATAGGGTCATTCTGAGTCATAGTTGGCTTGACTGCACATAACAACAAACAGAAAGGGAAAGTTGAGGATGGGCTGATACAAAATGTGTGCCATATGTCCCCAAGAAATTGAGTTTGGAGGACCCTGAGATCTCATTCTCATGGACAACTTGAATATGAATTAAAGTGAGAAGTCCACGTATTATTGATGATGGGAGACATGCTAACCAGTTATGTAGATGAGGACAGTTGTGGACATGATCCCCAAGTCCAAAGTCCCAGGGCTAGCGCTCTGAACTGCAGGCTCAGTGTCCCCTGGGCATTACACATCGTAAGTGCCAGAGTGATGGCAGAGATTCTTCTGATGGTGGCTCAGGATTTCTTGAGCTAGATTACATGAGTCAGCTGGTAAATAATGACAATAATAATAATAATTATGATTATTTGTGTAATTATAACATGGTAATAAAAATAATGTGGTTAACATTTATTCTCTGAAATATTGTGCTTGGCTTTGATTTATTTTGAGCATATGCAAGAGTCTTTTGAAGTGGGTGATACTGTTAACCCCTTGAGGAAACGAATACTTTCTGAAGTTAAACAACTTATTCCAGGGTGCAAAGCCTGAGCCTGGCAGAGCCAGCATTTGAACTCGACGCTAGCTAAAGCTCCTGATCATAATCAACAGCTCCTGTTTCCAGCCACCAGTCCTTGCCCTAACCTGTGCACTACATTTCCAGCAGCAGTTTTCCATGCTATCATTCTTGTAACCTCTCATTTATTCAATATATTATTACTTTCTTAAAACACTACAGAGTCCACTGTACACTTGTAGCTTAGACCACTTAGCCTCAGTGAACAGAGTCTTCAAGGGGTGCTCTGAGTCACCTGATGCGGTCCATGCTCTGACACCCTCACCAGCACCCCATGCAGTGCGGGCTGCACTAATCTTCAGCTTCTCTGCCTGGTATTCTCACCTCCATCTCTCCACCTTCTGCCATGCTGCTCCCTGAGCCAGGAAGGTGACCCAGCTCTGCTGGCAATTCCGCCTGCACCTAGCTTAGAGGCAAATGGACCCTGTCCTCCTTTCCCATCTAAGTTCTGCGTAGAGAAAACAAGAACTTCTTTTAATATGTGCCAGTGTCAGTTCCTGCTCAGAGCAATCCAATGTGACAAAGTCGAACTGTCTCATTGTTTCCTAGGTTGTTCTGCTTAATGGGAACAGGTTGCTAGGCTTTTTCTACCCACAAGGTGCTGGTGGGTTTGACCTGCTGCCCTTTTGTTTAGCAGCTGAGTGTTCAACCGTTATTCTACCAAAGAGCCTTAAAAGTCCCCTGATTACCTTTAAAAATGTGTTTTTTCAGCCTTCCAGTGCTGGAGTGGATTTTTTATCAATAGCTGCTTGGACCATGCATGCTCAATGAAAGGGCTTATTAGGCATTTGTACTCAGGTCTGCAACACTGGACAAAGATCTGACAACTATTTCTGCTTGTGTCCAAACCTCTGTTCTAGGTAGTTAAGATGCAAGAAACAACTAAGCCATATAGGAGTTCTTCCTTCTTGGAACTTATATTCTAGTACATACCCCTCTTCCATTTCTGGGTTAGAGTGTTCCAAGAGCTCTGGTAACAGACTACCTGGGTTCACATTCTAACTTTTCTACTTACAATCTGTGTGACCTTGATTAAGTTATTTAACTTCTTAGTACACCCTCTTATAACATCAGCTTTCTGTAAATTGTGGAATAAAATTGCATTCACCTGAGAGACTCTATTCTCTATATTTTGAAGAGAAATGAATATGCATTTAACTTACAATTGAAAGCAAATCAAACCGAATTGTTTGCCACTTAGTCAATCCTGGCATATAGTGTCCCTGGTTCATGGAGTAGAACTGCCTACAGGGTTTCCAAGGCTGAAAATCTTAAAGGGAACAAACTGCCACTCCTTTTTCTAATGGAGTGACTGTTGGATTTGAACTTCTAACCTTTTGTTTAGCACTCAAGCTCTTAGCCACAGTGCCAAAGGAGCTCCTCAGACAGCTCTGACTTGCGTTTAATATTATATAACTTTGCCTCACTCTGAGGTGATTGGACCAATGCCTAAACACAGCATATTTGTCATCACAGTCACTTTCAATTGCTGAAAACATTTTGAGGTTTTTACTACATTAAAAGCCCAGGACTCAAACTCAATTCAATTCATAGTGACCCTCTGTTGGGTTTGGGAGACTGTAATTCTTTCTGCCTGGAGTAGCTGGTAGATGTGAACTACCAACATTTCTGTTACGGCAGCTCCACATGTTACATACTGTACCACCAGTGCTCTTCCACAGTGACCTTATGGTTGAGTCAGCTCTGGCTCATAGTGACTCTAAGTACAACAGATCTAAACGTTGCCCTATTTTGTGCAGCATTCCCAATCTCTTCTGTACTTAAGCCCATCATTGTAATCACTGTGTCAATCTATCTAGTTGAGGGTCCTTCTACCTTTTGATGACCCTTTACTTTTTCAAGTATAATGTCTTTTTCCCCCAAGGATTGTTCCTCCTAATAACATGCCCACAGTATGTCTCATCTTCCTTGCCTCTAAGAAGCACTTTGACAGTGTTTCCTCCAAGACATATTTGTTTGTTCTTTTGGCAGTATGTACCTGTTCTGATTTACCTACACATTTTTTTAGTTTATTAGTGTGTGTGTGTGTGTACACTGTCTAATTGGATCCGACTGGTACAAGAGGAGAGTGCCCCTCCTTCTCCAGTGGAACATCTGGTGGATTACCTACACATTTTTAAAAGCAGAAAAGAATCTTGTTTATAACCCAAGGACTATCTTTACTGCATGCCTTTAATTTATGTATAAAAAGTTTACTTTCTCAAGAAATAAAATTCCAAGGTTCTCAGGTTGAACGTATCTTCTGCCTCAAAGAGAAATGACAGGACTCACCTTGATTTTTCAATGGTAAAGGCATAGTTTCCCTGAGTTTGCTTAAAAGGTTTTTCATTTCTCGCATGTCTCTGTAAAATTGATAAAAAGAAAGAATAGTCAGGTGTAAATAAAAAAAAATATTCTAGTAGCCTACTCTAGGAGACCAGGACATGCTCCATGCCTAACTGTACTAGTTCTACTTTGCAATGGGCACATACTGACTTTATTTTTATTTTACAAGGAAATAAAATCTGATGTAGGTTTTCTCAGAAGGAATAGAAACCTCTAAGGGCATTTTCCTGAAGGAATTATCATCTAAGCTTCAAACCTCACATTGCTGAGATGGAGAAACCCTGGGTAATGAGGATAATACTTCAGATTTAGGAGGAAAGACAAAGGACACAAAACTAGGCTACCAAGACAGTGAAGGAAAGGAAAACCCTCAGTGAATGGACTGATGCAGTAACAGCTACCCTGAGAAAAGCTAAGCCTGGAGGGAAGTGCCAGCAGTGCTTTATAGCAGTATTATATGCTGTGGCTTCAGGGTCATGTCACCCAGTAGAGCTTTGTTGTGCCTAAGCACGTTTGCTTGATGCTGTTGTTCACTTGGTATTAACATCTTCCCTGACTGTAACTAAACTCCAGGGTCAAACAGGAGTTAAAAATTCACAGTGAGGGCTAACACTTATTAAAAGGCTAAACACAGGACATTCTAGAAAAGGTGAAAAAAAAAGTCACCCTGCCCCACCTTTGACCAAGATGAATCCTCAAAAAAGTGTCAGGAGCAGGAGTACAAGAAACTAAAATCTGCAGAGAAGAGCTCGTTGCAGTGGATAAAATGGAGAAATGCAGAGAGATGGAGAGAAGGAAAGACGGAGGGGGAGGGAGGGAGGGAGAGAGAGAGAGAGAGAGAGAGAGAGAGAGAGAGAGAGAGAGAGAGAACTATTGAGGACAGCACTGTCTTCCTCTGGTCACTAGCAAGCTTTCAAGCTTCATAAATCCTTAACCTACTTGATACAGTATCATGAATAATTCCAACAGCTGCCTTCATCTCAGAGTCCACCTAATTATAAAATTGCAGAACTGTAGAGCAAGTCGCTTTTGGGGGATGTCCCACCTAAGACAGGACTTCTAGGGTAGAGCAGAAGAAATTAGCACTTTTCAAATCTTTGGACATTTGATTTCCTAATACAAGCACTGTAAAGTCAGTGCTTTTTAAACCCCGGAAAAGAGTGATCTATTTATTTAAGATAGCAATGGTACAACTCATTGTAAGGTAAAATATACCATTTAGTTAACCATAGAAGAGACAGGCTGACAGGTTTTATTTTGGGGGGAGGTAATTCTAATGTTAAAGGAATTCTGTACATTATCTTTTCTCTGCCACTTCAAGAAAGAGAGCTACAGTTTAATGTGAGATATGAAATAATTCAGTCTGGGTTCTTCCTGTTTTACAGACCACTGTTTTTTTTTGAAACACACTTCTTGAGCCCATTGATGCAGCCACTGTATCAATTTATCTCATCGAAGGTTTTCCTTTCCTTCAGTGATCATCCAGTTTTCTAAGCTGGTTCCTTTCCCAGGAACTTGCTCTTTCTGACAATATGTCCAAAGTATGTGAGATAGTTTCACCATCCTTGCCTCTAAGGAGCAGCCTGGCTGCACTTCTTTCAAAAGAGATTTGTTTGTTCTTTTGACAGCCCATTAGCTATTCCCTCTTCTCTGACACCATGGTTCAAAGGTATCAGTTCTTGGTTTCTCCTTATTCATTGTCCAATTTACACATGTATATGAAGCATTTGGGAATATGATATTGGATGAGATGCACTTTAGTCTTTAAAGCTATATTCTTGCTCTTGAACACATTACTGAGGTCTTTGACAGCAGATTTGTCCAATAGACCTTTTGACTCTTGATTGTCTTCAATAGGTGTTATCTGTGGATCCAAGAAAACCAAAATTCTGGCCAACTTCAATATTTTTCATAATGTTTTCTATTTATCTTGTGAAGACTTTTGCTTTCTTAACATCGAAGTGTAATCTATACTAAATAGTCTTTGATCTCCAGTAAGTGCCTCATACTCTCTTCACTTTCAGCAAGGAAGTATATGTCATTTGAATAGCTCAGGCTGCTGGGGAGTCTTCCTTAAATTCTGATGCCATGTTCTTTTTCATATAGTTCAACTTCTCAGATGATTATATCAGTATAAAGGTTGATAGGTGTTGTTGTTGCCAGGTGCCGTCGAGTCAAGTATGACTCATAGTGAACCTATGAACAAAAGATATGAACCCTGCTCTATCCTGTGCCATCCTCACACTTGCTGACACACTAGAGCCCATTGCAGCGGTCGGCGTGTCAATCCACCCGGTTGAGTGTCTTCCCCTTCACTGACCCTCCATCCTTCCCAGCATCATGTCCTTTTCCAAGGAATAGCACCTCCTAGCAACATGCCCAAAGTATGAGAGGCAAAGCTTCATCATTCTTGTCTCCAAAGAGCACTCTAGTTGAGTAAGTATGGTGAAAATGCAAGCCTGACACAAAACTTTATGGATTATAATCCATGATATTTACTTTGTCTGTTTGAATAACTACTTCTTGGGTATTTATGGGATCCACAAGAGCACATGTGATGTTTAGAATTCTTATTTTTCATATTGTTAACCATAAATTATGATAATTTACCATTTAATAATGCCTTTGGATAGTCAGAAAAACACAAGAAAACATCTTTCTGACATTCTCTGCTTTCAGCAAAGATCCATCTGGCATTAGCAGTAACGATCCTTATTCCATGACCTCTTCTGAATCCAGCTTGCATTCCCATTAGTTCCTTGTCAATATACTGCTCCACTCATTTTAATATTACCTTCAACAAGACTTTACTTGCTTGTGATATTAATGTTTTTCTATCATTTTTACATTCTGTTCAATCACAGTTGGTTTTTTGTTTGTTTGTTTGTTTGTTTTAAATGAGGACAAATAGGATCTCTTCCAGCTGGTTGGCTAAGCAGAGGCCTTAGAAATTTATTGGCAAATATAAGTAGGTGAGTATGTCCCAGGTTTAATCTGTTTGTTGAAACACATCAATTTGTTTTACATAAATTTCCAGAGCCTTATTTTTATTAATGCCTTTAGCATTGCTTGGACTTTTTCCTTTAGTACCATTGCTTCTTGAAATGGTTCCATGTAGACAAGTTCTTTTTGGGACATTGGCTCAGTGTAGGTTTTTTTTTCTTCATCTTCTTTTGATGCTTCCTATGTGATCTAATATTTTGTCCACTGACTCAGTATTGCAACTTAAGGCTTGAGTTTTTCTTCTTTTATTTCAGCTTGAAAATGTTGAGCATATATTTCCCTTTGGTTTTGAACTCCAGGTCTTTGCCCATTTTGTTATACTTTGTTTTCTCAAACTATCCTTTTAAATCGGTTCAGCTTTTAAAATCTAGTATGTGTTTATTTCACCTTTAGTTCGTTCTGTTCGTGAGCAAGTTTCTGAGTCTTTTCTGACATTCATTTTGGTCTCCTCCATCTTATTAAATACTTTTTTGCTGTCTTTCTATTTGATGTACATGTTGTCATCCCACAACCGTCTGGTGTTCAGTCATTAGTGTCCAGCACATTAAATATACTTTAAAGATATTTATAAATGTTGGTAGAATATACTGGATTGTCGTTTTTAATATCATAGATTTGTTCTAATTTTATTCAGCCTCAATTTGAATTTGCATATGATGGCCTATTCCACAGTCAGCCCCTGAGTTTGTTCTGAGTGATTGATGATATTGAGCTACTTACTACTCCACAGTCTCTTTGCACAAATGTGGTTAACTGATTCCGTATATTCTATGAGGTGACAGCCAAGTGTATGTTGTTGTTATGTGCCATCGAGTCGTTTCTGACTCATAGCGACCCTATGCACAACAGCCCTAAACCCTGCTCTATCCTGTGCCAACCGCACCGCCTCTGACACACCCATCCCGATTACCCC